GGCTGGCTTCAGGCAGGGGGGTGCGGCAGGGGCTGGCTACAGGCAGGGCAGGGGGTGCAGGGCTGGCTGCTGGCAGGGCAGGGGGTGTGGGGCTGGCTGAAGACAGGGGCTGGAGACAGGGCAGGGGGTGCGGGGCTGGCAGGCAGGGCAGGGGGTGTGGGGCTGGTGCGGGCAGAGGGCGCGGGTACAGCCCACCCTGTACGGTAAGTTCTCCCTCCTCCACCGGGGTAGCAGCAGCAGCCCGGGGCTCGAGGTCTATTTAAAGGGCCCGGGGCTCCCCTGCTTCCACCGCCCTGGCCCTTTAAATAGCCGCAGGAGCCCTCGGGAAACGGCGGGGCTCCAGCAGCTATTTAAAGGCCCGGGGCGGTAGAAGCAACGGGAGTCCCGGACTTTTTAAATAGCCCCCAGAGCCCCGCAGCCCTACCCCAGGGCTCCAGCAGTGGGGCTCTGGTGGCAATTTAAAGGGCCTGGGGCGCCAGCCCTTTAAATTGCCCCCGGGGAAGCTGGGCCACCCCGGTACGGTGCACCGGCTCTTGTCAGTATGCTGTACCAGGGCTTGGGCGCAGGGCCCTCTTAGGGGCGGGGCCCGATTCAGGGGAATTGGTTGAATTGGCCTAATGCCGGCCCTGCCTGCCCCAGTCTGGGGGGCTGTCTGTAAGCGAGGACTGGCCTGTCTCCCAAGATCTGTGAGAGTGAGGGATCGTCCTTCAGGATAGGTTGTAGATCCTTGATGATGCGCTGGAGAGGTTTTAGTTGGGGGCTGAATGTGACGGCTAGTGGCATTCTGTTAGTTTCTTTGTTGGGCCTGTCCTGGAGTAGGTGACTTCTGGATATTCTTCTGGCTCTGTCAATCTGTTTCTTCACTTCAGCAGGTGAGTATTGTAGTTTTAAGAACACTTGATAGAGATCTTGTAGGTGTTAGTCTCTGTCTGAGGGATTGGAGCAGATGCGGTTGTATCTTAGAGCTTGGCTGTAGACAATGGATCATGTGATGTGATCTGGATGAAACCTCAGCCTGGACCAGTCCACAGAAGAGATCCATTTCCTGGACACTGTAGTGCTAATAAGCGATGGTCACATAAACACCACTCTATACAGGAAACCTGACCGCTATACTTACCTACATGCCTCCAGCTTTCATCCAGATCACATCACACGATCCATTGTCTACAGCCAAGCTCTAAGATACAACCGCATTTGCTCCAATCCCTCAGACAGAGACAAACACCAATAAGATCTCTATCAAGCGTTCTTAAAACTACAGTACCCACCTGCTGAAGTAAAGAAACAGATAGCCCACCTTAATTGATTAGTCTTGTTAGAATTGGTATGGCGACACCCATTTTTTCATGTTCTCTGTGTGTATATATATCTTCCTACTGTATTTTCCACTGCATGCATCCAATGAAGTGGGTTTTAGCCCACAAAAGCTTATGCCCAAATAAATTTGTTAGTCTCTAAGGTGTCACAAGTACTCTTCGTTTTTTTTGCTGATACAGACTAACACAGCTACCACTCTGAAACCTGTGTCCTTGTGAAGAATTATTACTTTCCATTATGGCTGTTACAAGAGGCCCAAATTAGGATCAAGGTCCCCAATGTGAATTTCCACGTTTACTAGTTTGCCTGAAGTTTTTTTAAACTATTTACTTGAAATAGAGTTCTCATTTGTACATCAAAATTATTCTTAAATTAGGGTACGTGTATCTAGATACACACAAAATAACTTTCTGTTCTGCAGATTATGAAGAGTATGTCAATGATGGAATCAAGCTTCCTTCTTTAGTATGTGTGATAACAGGTACCACTTTTACATGATAATTTTCTGTTCCCTTTCAGTGCTGATGCTAGAGGATTAATTTTTATCATCCCATTATATTGACTCTTACGTTGATGTTTTTTTTTTTTTTTTTTGAAGTAACAAAAAAAATTGAATATTTGTTTGGCACTAATTTACCAGATCAATGGTTGGAGCAAAAAGCAAACCAATGGTGGCATGTTGGGCATTTTAAAATAAAAGATATGCCCCAGCATACGAATCTAGCCATTTTATTGTACTCTGTAATTCCTTTGGATGTATTTTCAGAATTTGAGTACTGAAGAAATGCTGGTAAAACATCTTAAAATGTGGTTTAAATGGTATTTGGCCTATTGCTAAGTAGGGAGGAATTTGGCTAGTACTTGGAAAGGAGACCTACTCGTTGAATTTGAGGATTTTGCAAAATGATATAGATGGTTCAACAAATGGTATTCTTTCCTCCTAGTACTAAACTAATAACGTAGCATGATGCTAAAAGGGCACTGTGCTGCTGGAGGGTGCCATCTTTCAGTTGATTTGTATCTGATAACATTGTATCTACGATACAGCATTATATCTCATGATTGCTCTCAGAAGACCCAATCGGATTCACTGTCACCATGCTAGGCCCTGTATGAACACTGATGAATGATGCAGCCTCTTCTTCTAATACCTTACAATCTAGGAAGACAAATGAGATTTGCTCTATATCCCTAGACTTTAATGTGCGGACAAACACCCACTTTGGGTGTTCACAGCAAAAACACTAATATATATTGTGTGTTTATTTTCCATTTAAAAGGTAAAGGGCCTCTAAAAAAGCACTACAACAGACTGATAGACAAAATGCACTTTAAACACATCCAGATCTGTACACCGTGGCTAGAAGCTGAGGATTACCCTGTTCTACTTGGTAAATAATGGATTACAGTTGCTGAAAAAAGCTTTAAAGACTCAAGAACAATGTGTGAGGCTTAAGCAAAGGCTATGGATAGCTGTTGATAATTTTGGGCAGGGATGGCATGATATTTATCAGAGATGGTTTTTACCAGGTAAAATCATGGTTTTTAGTGCCTCGGGAAAAATCAGTTAGTCCCAGTTTAAGGCATTTTCTATTTTTAAAACTGTTTAGTTAATGACACCACTTTATACTTAGTTTTAGTTACATATTCCAATTGTGGTTATGTAAGGCAGTAGATTTGTAGATTAATGTAGGGTTGTACAAATACAAAGTAAAACTAAAATGGGCATAATATTAATATATGTAATTATAATGCAGTACTGAACATTGGCATGTCTACATTTTGGTTTGGTATTTTCTCAAGGAAGTTATACATGTTATGACTCATTTTTTCAATATTATATAAACAAGTTGAAAACATTTGATTATATGAAAACAACAATGCAGAGTTGTAGACTTGAAGCATTAAGCAATCAGAAGCATGCAGAGTTGCAGACCAACGGGCCAGGTCCATTTGGCCATGCAGCATCCTGTAGCTGAAGACCAACTTTGATGTAGTGGATAGGCCAAGCCTATTCCTTGACTTTGAATGGATGTATCCAAAGTTTGAAAAGATTCATTCTGTATTTGCTGAACTTGCTGGTCCCTGATGCAATTATTCTTCCCAGTTTCCTGGTTTAAACTTGGTTTAAGTTGGTATTTACCAGTGCCTTGTCCTAAACTAGTTTTTCCTGGGAAATTGCCAACCCTGATTTTGGACGCTAGATATACGAATACCACAGTAAAATTAAATTGCTTGTTAAGAACAAAATATATAACTGTAGCTTGTGCCTTTTGTTATGGCTGAGAAATTGTTTAATTTTTGAAACTGCACTGTTTCCCCTCCTATTTTGGTAATTAGGTGTAGAATTGCATCTTGAAGGTTTGCCAATAGCTCTCTATTTAAAAAGCCTCTGTTTGCCCCCTTCTCTTCTTCTAGGTAGGCTGAAATATAGTGGGTTGGTTTCTGTTCAATGTATTCTCAAGTTCTGTTAAGTAAATAACACTTGAGAGTTTCTAGCTGAGCTGTTGAAGGTAACTGATGAGATTAGGAAATAGAATGTTCATACTCCCTTAGCATTTTAGAGAAATGAAGCTCAATAAAAGCTATGTAAGGATAAAATACTGGTAAAATACAAATTCTGCCTAATTTCAGCCCCTCAGGTCAGGCACTGTCAATTTATTTGGCTTGTATGTCTGTGGTGGTTTGTAAGTAATGAATATTCATCTCTGTAAACTTGGATTCTGTAAATTATCTATGTATTGTAAAGGCATTTGGATTGGAAGAGTCCTTTAGTGGGTCATTTAGTCCATCCCCTGAATTGTGGCAGGATTGATTTAATTAATTCTTTACTATTTCAAATAGATAAGGGTAGATTAAGTGTATAATATCTGTTAGTTTTTTAATTTCTCTTCTCCCCTTATTTTAATATCAGTTAGTTATGTTTCTAAATCTCAGCTGCTCTGAAAAATAAAAAAATTATATGGCTTTTACTTACTGACATTCTGACATAAATGATATTCCAAGTAGTTATGTTCTAATGGCACTAAAGAAGACATCAAGTTACATCAAAAATTGTTAATGTTTACAAAATTGTATGTTTAGACAATAATTTTTAGAGTTAATCACTTTCAAAATAAACTTTTTAAAAAGTCAGTTTTGTTTCTTTTATAATTTGTAGGCTCAGCAGATCTGGGTGTCTGTCTCCACAAATCATCTAGTGGTTTGGATCTGCCTATGAAGGTGGTGGATATGTTTGGCTGTTGTTTACCTGTATGTGCAGTACGTTTCCAGTGGTAAGAGCTTGCTTACTTTGACATAGCTTAAAATAACTCAAATAGATATTTTAAAACAAATATATAGTTTGCTACAAAATCACAATATAACAATTTCTGCTGATATTGAATTGATTCCTAGTTACGCCACAGTAATACGTTTGCTTTAATTTGATAAAGGTAAATAAAATTATTAAAACTAACTTATGACTTCTAGAGGTCATTTTAAAAATTAACACTTTTTTTGTGTGTGTGTGCACGCGCGCGCAAAAGTTAGGGCATTAACTGCAGTGTCCTAACCAGAATGCCTTAAAAACAACCACCTGTAATCCCAATTGGAAATTGTACTCTTCTTCATATCCTGTTCTAAACTACTGGGTTTGTTTCGATATACTGTTTGAGAGATGCTTCATTCCACTCTGGGATTGTCTAAACCTCAGTGATGGATGAAGTGGTTACTGTATCTATAGTTTATAAAGTACTTGTAATCCTTTGGGAGAAATATGGCTTTCATAATGTAAAGATACTTTGTCTTGTGCTGTAGCGTTGGTGGTGACAGCAGCACAGAATACTCTGTGATAGCTTTGTTCATGACTGTAATATATAATGAAGACTCTTTTCTTTTGTGTGTGATCTTTTAATAGGATCAGTTTAATAAGCCCGTAAAATACACTAGCTTTCAGTATGATCATGGTATCTTCAGGTGAAAAATGCACATTTCAAATTTTAAAGAGTTCCACTTTAAATAAAAAAAAAATCCTTGAAGAAAATCGCTGCACTATGTTATAGACTGCTGCTATTTAATCTATCCTGCTTCCTGGGCCAATTCAGAGGAGAATCAAATCTGCTATAATTTAGCCATTTTTCCAGCCATCTCGATGTGTAATGTATAACTTAGACTCTCACCCAGCTATCAAGTTACAATGTGTAATTTTACACAGTTTTACACATCACCTGCAAATTCGACTTACTGAGTCTAAAGAAGTCCAAGGTGGTGTAATTTGTATGCTAATGGGGTGGAACAGAGGGGTTAAAATGTAAATCAGCTAATAGGAGGATGCAAATTAAAGTAAATCACCCTTGCTGTAAATTATACTCTAGTATGTAAGCTACATGTTGGTAAATGTGTGTGTCTAGTGCAATGTAAGGGAGACTCAGAAAGTATAATTGAATCTATTATATGTGAAGGGGTTGAAAGATGATGTATATTATTCTGTCTTAGGTTCCCTTGGATTCATTTAGACTCCATGACTGTGAAAGATCTGTCTTTCAGAAGGGTTACATACAATAGAGTACTGCAGACTGGTCATTATGGAAATGAATGGCTTCAGTTACAATGGGCTAACAAAGTATAGACTCAGACTTTAAGGTCAGAAGGGACCGTTATGATTGTCTAGTCTGACCTCCTGCACAACGCAGGCCACAAAATCTCACCCGCCCACTCCTGTAAAGTCCTCAAATCATGGTTTAAAGACTTCAAGATGCAGAGAATCCTCCAGCAAGTGACCTGTGCCCCACGCTGCAGACCCGTGCCCCACGTAAACCCCCAGGACCTCTGCCAATCAGCTAACCCCTGAGCATGTGGGCAAGACTCACCAGCCAAACACCCAGGAAATAATTCTCTGTAGTAACTCAGATCCCATCCCATCACAGGCCATTGGGCATATTTACCGCTAATAGTCAAAGATCAATTAATTGCCAAAATTAGGCTGTCCCATCATACCATCCCCTTCATAAATTGTCAAGCTTAGTCTTGAAACCAGATATGTCTTTTGCCCCCACTGCTCCCCTTGGAAGGCTGTTCCAGAACTTCACTTCTCTGATGGTTAGAAACGGTGGTCTAATTTCAAGTCTAAACTTCCTGATGGCCAGTTTATATCCATTTGTTCTTGTGTCTACATTGGTACTGAGCTTAAATATTTCCTCTCCCTCCCTGGTATTTATCCCTCTGATATATTTATAGAGAGCAATCATACCTCCCCTCAGTTTTGCTCCTCTTTCCACTGGGTACAGCTTCCCTTCCATCTGGGAATGCTCCAGCCCCTGCTATCCCAGTCCTGTCCTCCAAGGCTCAACCACTGCACACCTCGCAGTGCTGTCTCAGGGCTTGTCTTCAGTATGGGGGTAAGTCGATCTAAGTTATGCTACTCCAGCTATGTGAATAATGTAGCTGGAGTCGACATAGCTTAGGTCGACTTACCCGAGTGTCTTCCTTATGCTGTGTCGACGGGAGATGCTCTCCTGTTGACTTACCTTAATCATCTTGGGGAGCCGGGGTACCAGGGTCAACCTGAAAGCGCTCTGCCATCAATTTAGCGGATCTTCACTAGACCCACTACATCAACCCCCATTGCATTGATTGCAGCAGCATCAATCTCCCTATAGTGAAGACCAGCCCTCACGCTTCTTGTGGCAGATTCTAGCAGCCTTCACCTCATACACCCCTGAGAAGCTCTAGCAGGCTTCTCCACAATCTGCAGCCAGCAGGGGAGGCTGCTTTGCTGGTAGCATGAAAGGTGGGCTGCACTGCTTGGATTCCTCCTTGCACTGCTCTCACTTAGGATCCTGCTTCAATTACAAGCCCCACTCTTTCTGCACAATAATGGCGGGGATCACAAACTTGTACATTAATCTGTGCTGGCAGACAAAATAACATGTCACCACTGTATCCTTTTTATTCCTTCCCAAGAGTGGGAATTTCTCAGTACAGTTTGCTAATACACTTTGTATAGCAGCAGTTCTGGACAGGCTTATGCCTCGGAAGGAGGACTAATCTGTTTCAGTCATTTGCAGCTTATACCCCAATGCAAGAAATGGAATTCATGTTGAGAGATCCAGGATCTTAACAACATGGGGCTTGTAATAGGGTTTACAAACCCCATACTGAGCATAGGTAGAAGAGAGGAGAGTCTTCCCTCCTCACAGGCAACCAGACTGACCACACCCCAGCACAGCTGCCAAAACCACCATCATAGAGGCATGTACCCAGAGCTGGGACCAATAAGGAAAACAAGCCCAGCTATAATGGAAGGAGAACAGAGAGATAGGGAGGCAGAAAGGCCTGGGATAGTGGAGGGGCAACAGCCCCATGCCATGCTGCCTCTAAGAAACTGACAAGAGAAGACTGCAAGTCCTGGAGTTTAAGGGCTGATTGACTCATTTTAGGTTAAGTTGATGGACTGGGCTGATTTGATTTGAATAGAGGGAGACCAATTAGGAGAAAGCTGGGACCTCTAGAGAGACTGTCCCTAGAGTATTTGATAGGGCTACAGTACATAAACAATCTCTGCAAGTATTTAAGTGGAGAAGCCTTTTATGTTGTTCTCACATTTCCTTCACTGGTTTTGTTCACAGTTTACATGAACTTGTGAAACACGATGAAAACGGCTTGATATTTAGGGACTCGAATGAACTTGCAGAACAGCTGAAGGTAAAGATATTAGAGGCCCAAGTCATTTTTGTTTCCTTTTTCTTTATGGTTAATGGAAAGGTATGGCTTTTGCACGTTTGGAGTGAGTAGATTATAGATCCGGTTGTCATGTTTTTCTCTTCCTGTCTTCTCTCATTGTTTACTTTTGGGCAGTGATGCTTTTTTGTTTGTTTATTTATTTATTTTTATAAACTGTTAGTCAACACTGAATAGTATTGAGTATTAATAATTATGCTTTGTGGATTTAACTTTAAAATATGCATTGTAAGAGGAATTCCCTGCCTATAGTTATAGATTTTATTGGCCACATCTGTTTGTGTATGAATTTAAAGCAAGAAAGCACATTTTAGATATTTTATCATCTTGCAATGCCTAGAGGTCTAGAAGGAAGAGTCCACTTTACTGCTCCTCTCTTAATAATCTGCCCATTAAAGTTGGGAGGGGCAGGAGATGCTTGAAGTGTGATATTTAACTTCTTCTATGTTATTTCTTTAACCTTGCAGATGCTCTTATTGGAATTTCCTACAGGTGAAAGTAAACTTTATCTGTTCAGAAGAAATCTTCGGGCATCCAAACAGCTGCGGTGGGATGAGAGCTGGGAACAAACTGTGCTTCCTGTGTTTAGGAACAATTAATGATTTCAAAAAAATGGACAAAAGAATTTTACATATGATTTTCACATTCCCAAGTTTGGTTATACATGATGGAAATGGTGAATAAAACCTTTATATTTGGTCTTAGACAAGTGTTTTTTAAATCTCTCCATCCTGAAACAACCTTTGCAACACACACTTTGATCTGTGATTTGAACCAGTTGGATGAATAATTCGGTATGATTTGAGATTTGTTTACAGCTGAACTTGTACTTCACATTATGTAAAGATAGAGGAAGGACGTGGTCCCTGCCTGACGGAACTTAAATTTCACAATCTATCCGGACTGTTAATCTACCTCTAGCACTTGGAATGAATGGTTCGGACAGCGACATCCCTTAGGGGAGGATCTATTAATGGAGATTCTCTATGTCCTAGTAAGGGGGCAAGGATGGAAGATGATAAAATACAGGTAGGATCTGATGAGAAACAGTGAAATGAAAAAAAAGTCCCATTCAATAACATCATGTAGTAGCAGACAGCTAAAAAATGACAAGTTTTTAAAGTGCTTATTTACCAATGCTAGAAGTCTAAATAATAAGATGGGTGAACTAGAGAGCCTTGTTTTAAATGAGGATATTGATATAATAGGCATCACAGAAACTTGGTGGAATAAGGCTAGTCAATGGGACACAGTAATACCATGATACAAAATATATCAGAAGGACAGAACAGGTCGTGCTGGTCAGGGAGTGGCACTATATGTGAAAGAGAGCATAGAATCAAATGAAGTAAAAATCTTAAATGAACAAAACGGTACTATAGAATCTCTACAGATAGTATTTCCATGCTCTAATAAGAAGAATATAGCAGTACCTGACCAGGATGGTGACAGTGACTGTGAAATGCTCAGGGAGATTAGAGAAGCTATTAAAATAAAAAACTCAATAATAAGAATAATAATGGCGGATTTCAACTATCCCCATATTGACTGGGTACATGTCACCTCAGGACAGGATGCAGAGATAAAGTTTCTTGACACCTTAAATTACTGCTTGGAGCAGCTAGTCCTAGAATCCACAAGAGGAGAGGGAATTCTTGATTTAGTCCTAAGTGGAGCACAGGATCTGGTCCAAGAGGTGAATATAGCTGGACTGCTTGGTAATAGTGACCATGATATAATTAAATGTAACAGCCTTGTGGCGAGGAAAACACCACAGCGGCGCAACACTGTAGCATTTAATTTCAGAAAGGGGAACTACACAAAAATGAGGAGGTTAGTTAAACTTAAATGTATACCCCAAATTAAAAAACATAGTAAGAGAACAAAAAAGTGTGGCTAAACAACAAAGTAAAAGAAGTAGTGAGAGGCAAAAAAGCATCTTTGAAAAAGTGGAAGTTAAATCCTAGTGAGGAAAATAGAAAGAACTCTGGCAAATGAAATGTAAAAATATAATTAGGAAGGCCAAAAAAGAATTTGAAGAACAGCTAGCCAAAGACTCAAAAAGTAATAGCAAATTTTCTTTTAAGTACATCAGAAGCAAGAAGCCTGCTAAACAACCAGTGGGGCCATTGAACAATTGCGATGCTAAAGGAGCGCTAAAGGACGATAAGGCCATTCCGGAGAAACTAAATGAATTCTTCGCATCGGTCTTCATGGCTGAGGATGTCAGGGAGATTCCCAAACCTGAGTCATTCTTTTTAGGTGAAAAATCTGAGGAACTGTCTCAGATTGAGGTGTCATTAGAGGAGGTTTTGGAACAAATTGATAAACTAAACAGTAATAAATCACCAGAACCAGATGGTATTCACCCAAGAGTTCTGAAGGAACTCAAATGTGAAATTGCAGAACTACTAACTGTAGTCTGTAATCTATCATTTAAATCAGCTTCTCTAACAAATGCTTGGAGGATTGCTAATGTGACGCCAATTTTTAAAAAGGGCTCCAGAGGTGATCCTGGCAATTACAGGCCAGTAAGCCTGACTTCAGTACTGAGCAAACTGGTTGAAACTATAGTAAAGAACAAAATTGTCAGACACCTAGATGAACATAATTTTGTTGTGGAAGAGTCAACATGGTTTTTGTAAAGGGAAATCATCCCTCACCAATCTACTAGAATTCTTTGAGGGGGTCAACGTGGACAAAGGGGATCCAGTGGATATAGTGTACTTAGATTTTCAGAAAGCCTTTGACAAAGTCCCTCACCAAAGGTTCTTAAGCAAAGTAAGCTGTCATGGGATAAGAGGGAAGGTCCTCTCATGGATTGGTAACTGGTTAAAAGATAGGAAACAAAGGGTAGGAATACAGGGTCAGTTTTCAGCATGGAGAGAGGTGTCCCCCAAGGCTCTGTACTGGGACCAGTCCCATTCACCATATTCATAAATGATCTGGAAAAAGGGTAAACAGTGAGGTGGCAAAATTTGCAGATGATACAAAACTACTCAAGATAGTTAAGTCCCTGGCAGACTGTGAAGAGCTACAAAAGGATCTCTCAAAATTGGGTGACTGGGGAACAAAATGGCAGATGAAATTCAATGTTGATAAATGCAAAGTAATGCACATTGGAAAACATAATCCCAACCATACATACAAAATGATGAGGTGTAAATTGGCTGTTACCACTTAAGAAAGAGATCTTGGCGTCATTGTGGATAGTTCTCTGAAAACATCCACTCAATGTACAGCGGCAGTCAAAAAAGCAAACAGAATGTTGGGAATCATTAAGAAAGGGATAGATAGTAAGACAGAAAATATCATATTGCCTCTATGTAAATCCATGGTATGTCTACATCTCGAATACTGCATGCAGATGTGGTCGCCCCATCTCAAAAAAGATATATTGGAATTGGAAAAGGTTCAGAAAAGGGCAACAAAAATGATTAGGGATATGGAACGGCTGCCATATGAGGAGAGATTAATAAGACTGACTTTTCAGCTTGGAAAAGAGACAACTAAGGGGGATATGATAGAGGTCTATAAAATCATGACTGTTGTGGAGAAAGTAAATAAGGAAGTGTTATTTACTCATAACACAAGAATTAGGGGTCACCAAATGAAATTAAGAGACAGCAGGTTTATAACAAACAAAAGGAAATATTTTTTCACACAACGCACAGTCAATCTGTGGAACTCCTTGCCGGAGGATGTTGGGTAGGCCAAGTCTATAACAGGGTTCAAAAGAGAACTGGATAAATTCATGGATGACAGGTCCATCAATGGCCATTAGCGTGGATGGACAGGGATGGGGTCCCTAGCCTCTGTTTGCCAGAAGGTGGGATTGGGCAACAGAGGTTTGATTTCTTGGTGATTACCTGTTCTGTTCATTCCCTCTGGGGCACTTGGCATCGGGAAGACAGGATACTGGGCTAGATGGACCTTTGGTCTGACCCAGTATGGCTGTTCTTATACAAGGGGGAAGAATTCAGGCTGCTTTAGGAATCCTAACCTCAGAATTTTCTGACTTTTGCTATTTCAGTTTTAAACACAAAGGTCGCTTCCCTGTGGATTTTTACATATGGTATAATGGTTAAATTTTCTGTCACTGGAATGAATGCTTTGCTTGCACTGGGTAATTACAGACGGCTCTTCCACATGAATGGGAGACACTCTTCATTTTGAACAAGAATACTTGCTCATAAAGAAACATTCTGTTTTAAATGTAACTTTAAAATAACTTATGTCCTTGGCTGTTCTTCCCCAGGTAAATGTTGAGTATCCCCTTTTATATCTTTATGGTGGCAGAACCACTGAAGTCTGTCGCTCTGGCTGTGCTTGCACAATATCCATCTTGCTGTTTGTACAGTACATAATGCCAGATCAGCTTTCTGGATGTTCACTTTCTGTAACATATCTTTATTGTTGGTATTACTCATGCATGGTCGTGGTGTTCACATGCTGTTTATTATGTTATTGTTTTGAAAAGACTGGGACTAAATAGTTATGTGCCATAATGCCCCATCACCAGCGTATCTAGGTGTACATACACCTCTGCCCTGCCTCACTTTTTGCTTTGCTCTCATTTCCACACTCCTCCACCCCCCAGAAATGCCCCCACCTTATCCCAAGTCTCCAGATGGCATACAGCCACCTAGAAAGCAGGTAGCGTTCTAAGGCTCGTGTATTTCATTCCCTACCATATGCCCAGTGGTGACTGCTGAGATGTGAGGGAGGAAAGGGGAAACTAGATCTTTTAAGGGAGAAGTCAAAACAAATGCATAGCATCCAGTAAAGATCTTGATGTGTCTGACTCAAAGCAAAGCACCCAGCATGTCCTGTGGAGCCTCCACTGCATATAACTTTCCAGGCTCGGGGCCTGATCAATGCCCAGTGAAGTCAATGGGAGGCATTTCTAGAGATGACTTGGGGCTTGTCTACACTGGCACTTTACAGCGCTGCAACTTTCTCATTCGGGGTGTGAAAAAACACCCCCCAAGTGCTGCAAATTTCAGCGCTGTAAACTGCCAGTGTAGGCCGTGCACCAGCGCTCGTAGCCACCCTCCGAGTGCTGGTAGCTATTCCCCTCATGGAGGTGGGTTTTTTATAGCGCTGGGAGAGAGCTCCACAACACAGCCCCATTAAAGCACTGCTAGTGAAGACATGCCCTTGATTAGTGTTTAAGTACCTTTGGAGGCAAAAATACTGGGTTACTAAAGGAGTTTGTAGTCTAGCGGAGAAGAACCAAGTAGTGTAACAAGAACCAGTGGATGGAAGCTGAAACTAAAAAAATTCACATTGGTTAGAAACAAAGCACAATTTTTTTAACAATGAGGATGATTAACCATTGGAACCAAGTACCCAAGGAAGTGGTGGATTCTCCATCTCTTGCTATCTTCAGATCAGATTGGGTGCCTTTCTGGAAGATGTACTTTAGTCAGACAAATTATTGGGCTCAGTTCAGGGGTGACGGGGTGCAGTTCTATGGCTTGTGTTATACACATCAGCCTAGATGATCTAATGGTCTCTGGGCCTTAAAAATCTATGAATGAATTTTCATCTACTGTACTTCAGTGGTCTTTGGCCTGGTTCCTGAAGATGAGTATTGATGTAGGTGATGGGGAAGAAGGAAAAAGTCAGACGGTATTTATGGAATTGAACAAGATAAAAATGATTTACCTCCGTCTTCACCCTCTTGTCA